TTATAGGTTTAAAGTTAATTTACTTGGGCGATTAAGTAAATTTTTAAACAATATTAGAGCAGTCTGGGAGTTAACAGACAAGTAAATTTAGGAAGTTAATTAGGAAAAGAAAGGACTTTTGTTTCCAAAACCGGCCTCACAGAAAGTTGACCTGGTGCAGCCCCGATAGTTTGACGAAAAATGAGATTGATTTTGTTGTACAGGTCAGGAACAACAGTTCAGTAACGTCTCAGTGAAAACTAGTGAGCAGAAAATAATTCGGCGATACCATCAATAAATTCCACTGGACGATTCACCAGAAGTTTCCTTCTTTACTCAACTTCTTCGTAGAATCGGCTACCACCGGTGATTTTCCCGGATATGACTTAGGAAACTACAAGGAAAGATTCAACTCTTTTTCAAAGGCTCTCAACGCACCTGCAATTCTCCTGGTATTGCAGATGTTCATGGGCGGCGGTTAGTCACTTCACGAGACTTACCTGTGCTCATTGAGGGCAAATAATCTTACGCTCACCAGATATTGCTAGTTGACACCGAGGAGAAGTTTCTTGTTACACAATGTAATTTAATTGATAATTTAGTTTTAAACTAAAGTTTATCAATTCTAGAGTATTATAATAATGCACAAAACAATGCCTTTGTGGTTTATTTATCAATTTTTAGCACATTATTAACAATTCTTTTTGATTTTTTCTCTTTTTATGGATATCTGTGATTTGGTTTACTTATTTTTAATCCAATTAATATAAAATACAACTAACGGAACAGAAAGAAACATTAACTAGGTCGCAGTGATACTGGTCTCTTTCTCTAGACCTGCATAGCTGCTCGCACATAATAAAAAAAGAAACATTAACCTTTACAATTTTCGAACAAATTAACTTCCCCACTATGAAATTTATCAAATGTTACACCGCTTTTTAAGTGACGCCACCCTGGTGGCAGAAAAAGTCGTGGATGCCCTCATTGTACCCTCTTCTATAAAAAAAACTCCCTCTATTGAAGCACTACGGACCGATTTCTATCGCTCGCATGCTTGACGACTTCCAGCCACCTAAACAACCCGGATTCTGGCACACAATCCACCTGATGGTAAGTGGATACTGTGGCTAAAAATGCATTTGTTTTGTTAGGCCTGTTAAGTTGCTATTCTGTGAGAGCGTGGTCCTTCCACGGTTGAGAGCAGACCCATTCGTGCTACAACCGAAAAATAATTGCAGCATAGCTTTATAACGTAGAGCATGACTCTACCACGTAGAGCATTGCTCTATCACGTAGAGTATGGCTCTACCACGTAGAACAATGATCTATCACGTAGAGTATGGCTCTACCACGTAGAGCATGTCTCTAAGATGTGTACCAGTAGCTTTAGTCCCACAGACCTCATAAATAAATTGTATAGAAGACTGGAGAGTAATATAATATAAGAGTACATTCTGCCACTTTGTATTGCGTATGTGGAACGTGAGAAATCCTTTGATCCCATTGGAACTTAAAGATGTTATAGTCTCTTCATCGATGCCGTGTTGACTTGGTACATCGAAGTGTTAAAGTATGTTCTATGACCAATAATGTATGAATGTTATAAACTTAGAGTAATTTATGTAGGTAGTACTCGTAATTACTCTGCAGCATACGTTTGACGATGAACATATCTACATAAGGTAAATATAATAAAGTGTTATAAAAACGACAACATGATGAACATAGACTTTAGTATAGATACTTAAATACAACCTATGGGATGGGTGAATGCGATCTCGGCTTACGGGATCTGTAGCAAATAATCGGTTCACGACTCCATAATCCAACATGTAAAACATTGCTAAAGCTGAGATGTAACGTAACTTCGTAAACTTAGTAAAAACATCCTAAAAAGATATATTAAGGTTTCGGCGACGTATACCTAGTTAGGTAACCAAAGTCGATTATCCCATTCCTCAAGTTAAAGTTGTCAGAAACTTCAGAATAATTGATATTGATATTTTTACATGGTATAGCCATTTTGCAGATATATTATGGTTGAAGAACAATAAGGTTGGCTCGGCCGGGATCACCCCCTCATACAATATTAGCACGAAATAGTAGGTGTTTTGTAGGGTGAGTGTAGAGAACCGGATACCCTTCTTAAAACGATGCATTCCATATTAGTTCTCAAGCTTGACAACTTATCTATAATTTAATTCTTTCGATAGTATTTTTGTCATGTGTTGAGTCAATTTAGGTAAGTTTGTGTTGCTCACTATTGGCCGTACCAAACGCTATATCGTTAATGTGGAAGGTTTGTACGTGGTAGAGCCATGCTGCAGTTATATTAGAAGTATAGTTGTAGCACGAATGGGTCGGCGCGACCGGGGAAGGACCACGCTCTCACAGAATACCAGCGTGAAATAGTAACTTAATGCTGTTGTATTTCGTATGGTGAGTGTAGAGAACCGGAGACCCTTTTTACTGGAAACGAGGCATTCCATCTTAGTCCTCACGGGTGACAACGCATCTGCATTTTGGTTCGTAATCGAGGATAGATGTAGGTGTCTATGGGCCACAGCAACCATTTATCATCAGGTGGACTGTGTGCTCGTTTGTCACCCGATCCTATAAAAAAAAAGATAACTTTAAATCAAATATTCTACAAGCGGTACGTATAAACTCACATTTTCTGTAGGAGAATCTTCTGTAAAGTAGACCGATGTATGAAAGAATTTTTTTTTCACTGCAAAGTACATAAAAATAAGCCATTCAATCCTATTTATCTTTTCGCGTTAGAGATATGTATGGACCCTATAATTCCGGAAAGGTTATAATAACCTTTATAAGGTGCTATCTACTTAATTAAGTTTAATACTGAAATAATTAAGGGCACAAGGCCAACTCGCACTTTGGCGTTTTTTCTTAATTTATGTGACAGTCAATAGCGATACTAAAGTAACTGTGGATTGTAATTGAAATATCTAATCGGTAAACCTTATATGAATAATAATCTGCTTTATATTATGGTATAGAAAATTAAGGACATTTTGTTTCATTTCTATTCAGAAGCAAGTTATTTTAATCTTTATATCATTGATAAATTTGACGATGTTAATGATGCTGCATCTCAAGTATCACACCGGTTAACAATAATCGATATGCGACTGTGCCAAAGTTCTGTTCGAACCATGGCCCACGTAGTATAATAATTATTGTTATATAAGTTAGTGATTTAGATTAGTAGTGACAGTCCCTTAAATTTTTATGGAATTAGAAAAATAAAGACTAGAGAGGTATCATCAGATCATCTGCAAACATACTATTTCACAGAAGTTCTCAACGTAAAAAATTACTTAATAGCAGACTTCAAAACACTAAAAAGAATAAAATAATTTAACGTTCTGAAGTCAGGGCTTTAATTCCTCTATTTTTTTTATAGAATAGGGGATGACAAACGAACACACAGTTCACCTGATGTTAAGTGGATGCCGTGGCCCATAGATATCTACATTTATCCTCGATTAGGAATCAAAATGCGTGGCTACCCCTGAGGACTAAGATGGAATGCCTCGTTCCTGTAAAAAGTGTCTCCAGTTCTCTACACTCACTATACGAAACACAGCGGCATAGAGCTGCTATTTTACGCTGGTATTCTGTAAGAGCGTGGTCCTTCACCGGTCGAGCCAACCCATTCGTGCTACGACCATAATATAGGTCCAGCATGGCTCTACCACGTATACAATTATTATCTATGCACTATATCATATTATTTTTTGTAAAAGGTTATTTTCTAACCTTTTGCGTGGACTAAATCACAGAAGTAATGTCACAATCTCAATATTGTCTAAATAGTTTCTTTTAACTTTCATCCCCTATTTTTATACCCTTAGGGATGAAATTTTTCTCCAAATTCATATGAAACCACCTCTAATGTATAACCTATTTAATTGGCGAAAATATCGCGTAACATGCATACTAGAGATGGGCCGAATATTCGTTTTGTATTCGGTATTCGGCATATTCGGCAGCTTTACCGAATATTCGTATTCGGCCGAATATTAGGCTAAATCACCGAACATTCGTTTTCATAGTGTCCAATGTATTGAAATGTACGAATTGAGTAATGCGATGTCTTTTACTGTTGAAAGTATATTTTATTTATGTGTTAAATCTACTTAGAGTGCCTCAAATGCATAAATCTATAATACATTTATGTTTTTGAGGCACTATGGATTTATTTCAAAAAGATTTATTGAAACTTGACAAAATGTTTGGAATCAAACAAAGAAACATTACATTACATTAATACATTTTACTTTATTTTGGTCGTCAGTTTCTCTAAAATAAGTCCAAATAGTAAATCTCCTGCCGCTCATTTTTATCATATAATTATTAATTTTCACTAAGAATAAAATTCTTACAGCTCTTTATTCACTAAGAATAAAGAGCCGTGGTAGCTCAGATGGTTAGCGCTCGCTGTAAATTTCACAGTGCGCAAGCAAACCGGGATCGATTCCCGCCGGCACCAATGAAATTGTTAATTGCAATTTTAAGTGCTGATTGACGTGCTCAGCGGTGTATTCGCTATTATATTCGGTCTATCCCTAATACATACTACAAAAACATATAGTCAAATTGTAAGCTTCCTTCTTCTTTGAAGTCAGCTAAATATATATTCGTACGTACCCGTAAATATATGTAGGTAATGCCTTAGATAGCTCAAAACCACAGCTGGATATAGATGCTAGAACTTGTTTACCCTTCCAACGTTTAAAAAAATGTTTAAGTAGTGCAATAAAATCTTCTGCTTTTACCTTTAGGGAAACAGTACCATGACCTAATTTTTCAGAATAAGAAATCATTATGAAATAATTTATTAGCGACAAATGAAATAATAACTGGAAGCGAGCAAAGACGTATAAAAAAGGATAACCGTTATCATATGTTTATTATACTTATTGTAACTAGTTGTTCTCACAGCTGTCCAACACGAACGGGGTCCACGTAAGCCGAAATTACACTCAAGTGGCATGAGCTCGCTGCCGCCGCCGTCGCTTGCTCACGCACACAAACCGCACCCGCTCAAGTTGTCGCCGCCTTCGCCCTACGCACCGTTACCACAGCCGTTTAGCTTCCAAGTAAGTTTATAATTCACATAATATCTCTATACATAAAAATATCAATTCCTGTCTGTTAGTCTCGCTAAAACTCAAAAACGGCTCGATTGTGACGAATTTTTTGTGTGTTTGAATGGTGTGTGGTTTAGATTCACATTTGAACCCGATAGCTGGTGCTGTTGTCGAGATCGAAAAATTCTAGAACAGAAGATCTCCCGCCAGGCAAGGTGTTGTGCCCGGGGAGCGGCCAACGCTCCATGTGACAGTTCGGAGCTGTTTTATACTGTTTATGATTCGGAACTTTGATAGCGCGATTTAGGCTTCGGTGTGTTTCGCTTGTGGCGCGACGACAACGCCGCCACAAATCACCCGAGCGAAGCCGGGGTGGATCGCTAGTCAAACATAAATATTCCAATAACAATTTCTAAATCGAACATGGTCTCATAGAAAATTACAAGTAGATACCTATGTTTGGTAGATTGACAATTAAGAGGATATCACGCCTGCGTTTAATAAATACAAACGTATTTCTTTTTTTATTTGTTTTCTTTCTGGATTATGATATTAGAATAACTTTTTACGATATCTACAACCATTAACAACTACTGCCATGTTTTTAAGCTTGGTTATTTCCCATAAATTATTTATTTTAAAAACTAGGAACCTTTTAAAATTACGACCATAAAATAATAGACAAATATTCAGACGTATACACAATTCTTCTTATAATGTTATTGAATTTTAAAAACCGTCCAGTTTTGGAATAGGAAAAAGGGGTATATGAAATTGAAGGCTTCTTTAATTTTCATTGGAATATTAAATTATAATAATGAAAATTAAACGAATTATATATTTTAATTGGTTGCACAGCGCTACAGTATCTGTAGCAAATCTTCAATCAAAAATTTAGCAATCATTAAAACCTATTCTTCAAATTTCTTGCAGTCCGAATATAGGAAATCCAAACAAATACTCCAAAAACTTTTCCTGGCGGCTTTGGTCGCGTAGACTTCGTTTTACCAACATCATTAGTGTTCCGTGTTAAAATTCGGGATCACCTGTTCTGTAAATGTGTTCTGGCGGTCACAAACGTGCTTCTCAAATTCTTTTTACAATGTGAATATAAAATATATAAATAATTCAACCACATTGCCACATATCTGGTTCAGTTTTTGTGATTTTTTGGTACTTAATCAGCATTTTTGTGAATATGAGACGTAGTGGTATAAATATAGAATTTGTGTAGGTTTAACTTAATCGGCGTCACATATCTGATCCTTACATAGCTATGAAACATCGTTTCGTTACGTGAATCGGTCAAGTCGTTAAGAAGTTACACGATCACCAACAGACACACTAACGACTGTATTATACCAAAGCTTAGCTGATCCGGCTGACGTTGTTTCGAAGAATCTGTTAAATCGGCCAACACGAACGCAACTCGTCAAATGTCATCCTCGTTTTTAAGCTCAGGTAAAACAATTCTTCTCCAGTCACACAAGAAAACAAGAAAAGACAAACGAAATTTTATTTTCTTACGTCGAAAAATAGATTTCATTTCACTTGAACACTAAATACTATTCCAATTTCATATCACAGCGGCCAGTCTCCGCAGACTATTTTAGCCATCTGCAAGTCACGGGATTGTAGTGCACGGTTGTAAACAGTATAGATGGACACTCTACTCCCTACTATACTCTATCTGATGGTCTGATGGGGTGGCAATTTGACACTATCTGAGAGTTTTTTTTGTAGTTGAAATCTTTTTATTCTTTATTTATTAAAATCTTATTTGTTTATAAATTTTAACGCTACATATTAGGCGCAGGACCGACGACTATATACCGTCAAATCTTGACTGTGCAACTACTGAGAAGTTCTTGACAGAAAACCCCAATATAACTGATTTTTGGCTTAACCCTAGATTCGAACCTAGAACCTCATGACCAGAGATGCCGCGAATAGTTGTTATGGCGAATAGTCGAATACCGATTACTCGCCATTCCTCATGGCGAATAGTCGAATAAGTACTCGCTATAATTATGCGACATAAAAAAGGAATGTACAAAATAATTTATTTCTTATCAAATAATAATATTACACTTGTAGTAGTCTCTTGAACTTACCAATCATTTATATGTTACTGTAATTTAAAAAAATCTAATATTATGACTACTATCATAGCAACCCTTTTGTTGTACGTAACCACAGAAAGAGAATCGCTGGACATTAAAAAACTTTAGTCGGGGGTCATATGATGGTAGACGACGCAAGTGACCATATCTACCGCATACTCTGCGGAGGAATCAACTCTGCACCCTCTCGATACTGTCAGAATGTACCTTATAAAAGGGTGACCATACAGTGGAAGCGTACTCCAGTACAGAACGAACTAAAGTATAAAATAATCGAAATGATGCGAGAGGTTTGGAGAAATTTTTCGTTACACGAATTATAAACCCTAAGGTTTTGAAACTTTTTTGAGTTATGAACTCATAACGTGGATACTATTCGCCGAATATCGAATAATGAACACTATTACCACAGATTAGGAAATAATTTACCAACTATTACCACAGATTAGGAAATATTACTCGCTATTCGACGAGTAACGAAAAAATGCCGAGTAATGCCGAATACTGAATAATAGCGAGTATTCGCGGCATCTCTACTCATGACCAGCATTCCCGCTCACACCAACCAGACTAATGAGGCATCCTCTACTTCTATAATAGGTATTTAAGTATACAACAGTATTAAATGGGCGCCGTGATCGAAAAATCGTGATAAACTTAGAAATGAGGATATCCGCAGTAGAACCAGTGACCGACATAGCCCAACGGATTAGTAAGCTGAAGTGGCAATGGGCCGGCCATATAGCTCGAAGAACCGACAACCGTTGGGGAAGAAGGGTTCTGGAGTGGCAGCCTCGTACCGGTAGGCGAAGTGTAGGGCGACCCCCCACTAGATGGAGTGACGACTTGGTAAGACATGTAGGAAGTCGATGGATGCAGATGGCTCAGAACCGTGCTTTCTGGCATACCTTGGGGGAGGCCTATGTTCGGTAGTGGACTTGTGAAGGACTGTAATGATGATGATGATTACGATGTGATCGAAATTGGCCAGTACATCACCTGTACGGACTACAAAACAAAGCAGTCACGATTTCCGCCCGTGTTACAGAATCGAACTGCTGGTTCGAATAATATGTATTTGAATAGAGTGCCGTTTTGTGTGCAGTTCAGCTTAGGTGGTATGAATGAAGCGGCGCCGCTCAGCGCGGCGTCATCGGCAGGCTCCAGCGGAGCGGGCGCCGGCGCTGTGAGCCCACTGCCGCTGATCACAGAACCCTTCCTCGCACCTCCGCCACCCGGGCTTATACATATGCTCATGTCCTCAGATAAGTGTCAGGTAAAATTTGAAAGGGCAATTGAAATCGATAAATTAACTTGAACTTAAATATAAATAACGTAACTTCCTTTAGAAATTTAGTCTTAAATCTATTGCGTGAAGACAACACCACGCAATATGTTCAAATTTAATTAAATTAAATCTGTAGCCAGCTTACTTAAAAGAAGTAAGCACTAACTTTCAGCAAAAACACGTAAATTTTTTGTATTGTAATTCGTGGTTACCGGTGTTGGTTTCACAATTATATTTAATTGTGATGTGTATTTATTATTTTAAACTTCTTATTGTGAAGCTGTTTGTTGACCCAAATAAATTAAAAAAAAAAAACATTTCATTTGCTATTTTTTGTGCTCAAACTAGCAATAGTAATTTACGTCATACTTATATGAATTTTCTATTTAGGAGCTAATGTGGAGTGCGAAGCAGTTGCAATTGCAAGGGGATCCTACGTTACTTCGCCCGCCGACAAGTGCTTTTGGGACTCCGCTTGCACCCACGTGGGAACTATTACAAATAAATTGCGTTATGAAGTTAAAACTGAATAATACAAGTGGTAAAATTAGAAATTTTTGCACAACCGACTTCAATATTGCTAATAAAATGAGAACATCATCAATGTAGTCGATGTCGTATTTTTAAAGATAACTCAAAAAGTATTCGTCAAATCTTGATCAAATTTATATGTGCACGAGAAGCTTGTGTGTTTCTGGCCGATTTTGATGACTTTGATGATGATTTTTGATCAAAATCGTTTCACGTAGAAAAAAATTCTGAGGTACACACATATAAAATAGGTACAGTTGAATTGAGAACTTCCTCCTTTTTTGAAGCCGGATGAAAAAGAAAATAAATTCAATCTTAGTAATTCTAAGTACTATCATAATTTTAGCATAAAACCAAACAAACTACTGTCGTTACTAGCCTACCGACCAATGCTTAGGTAACTGTGATATTTATTTAGCTCGAAATGGTTATGTTAATACTGTAATAAGTCTAGACAAAAAGGCTTTTTTATAATAAGGAGAAGAACTTATTCTTTTGTTATACTTAGAAGGCAGATCAGCAATTGTAATTTTGACATCAGCATTTAGGATATTTTATCGAGGGGGACTTGAAGATAATTCAAAGACCTTTTTTCGGATGATTTTAATAATATCAATAAGTTTTATGACACGATAATAGTATAATAGCAGCTCTTGTGATAATAGTTCCTTATTATGTGTATTCAAAAAACTCAAAACGCATTATTTTTGTTTAATGACAATTTCCGCAGTGTATCCGCCATGTAATATTTTTAGATTTAAATATTTATTACTTAATATCATAATATATTTTATCAATTTTATTCATGTTATGTATACATAAAGTATATGTCATCTATAAGGGGGTGTGTACACTAATAGGTGGCTTTTTGACTCGAAGGGCGGCGCGGACTCGCGATTGGGCGGTTGAAGGGTGACTTTTCGCCTTCACTTGACTTACCCCGCCCCCTGACTCGCGATACGAACTGTGACAATACATTACACGCCTACAAAATATTGCTGAATGCTTTGCACATAATTATCAAAAATACTTTTTATTTTCCAATGCACAATGCTTTACATTACACGATTGGTACGAGGATAATAATAGTGTAAAATATTGTCAAAGCGTATTGGTGTCCACTATTATATCTAATATTAGATATACCTACACAAATCAGTGTCTGTTGTGGTAAATTTAAGTAACACTACAAACCCAATTTAAATAATAATTACAGTGATAAAGATTTAATTTTAATTACTTTTAGCAGCGAAATGAGATTAAATACTTTTTTTAATTTACTTTTTACATCACATTATTAATGCATATAAAGCTTTGATACCTACTTAGATGAAGTTATTATACGTTTATTAAGTTGTTTCTTTAATCTCAAGGCATATTATTTTATAGGGAATCATATAAAGTAATTCAAAAACAGAATCTTAGGCTAAAATGAAACAGAAACAAAAACAGAAACTTTTTTATTCAGTATTCAATAGATTGTAAACAATAGATACTTAGGTACCTATTGAAAGTCACTTTTTTCATTTACAACTGATTCGCAAAAAACACCTCTGTGCTGGGAAGAACCAGCAAGAAATCCAACGGGACTATTTTTTTTTTCAAATAATAAGTAGGTATGTAGTTTACAATCATGTACGTTACCATTAACAACGCAAAACAAATTAGAAATTGATTAGTATCGACCACCCTTCCCAGGGGTTATTATCATCCATAAATTCCTTAATATTATAATAACCCTTTCTAAACAAACTTAGTTTAGTAAAGTTTTTGAACTTCGTGTATGTCAAATGTTGTATAAGTACTTGAACGAATTAACCACTGGACCCGACATAAAACGCAAATGTATGAAGACTCGTTCAACCAAGTAGAGAATAACGCGCACGAAGATTTTATTACGTTAATATGAACACAGATACAAAATTTCTTAGAAGTCCACTCTATTTCCAATACTTGATCGTAGTCGATAAAATATATCGATGAACGAATGAGAAATAAAGGCGTATCGTAAATAAGCTGTAAGGCACAGGAAATAAAGGGATAATGAAGGTAAGTCCGGTATTTAAATTTTAATTAAAATAAAAGAAGCGGGACATTGTTAAGGACTTTTTATTCAATTATAGTTATGATAAACGTCAAATTTTTTGTTAAGTTTAAATTATTTAAATGGGTTTACTGACTTTTATTATGTATCATCTTTCTTAAAATGTGTTTCTTAGAATTTGTTTTGTTCGCTTGTTTTTTTATATAAGCAATTCTAATATTTAAATACTTTTCAGCATCGGCTTTCGTTAATTCTTCGACGTGATTCACGTCGTCTTTTTCAAATTATGGAAATGAATGTCTTCGTACAACGGAAGTTGCAGCAATGTTTCTGTTACTTTCGGCAGAAGAAAGTCTGTAGTGTAATCTTTTTTTAGTCTTTTATTCTGAACACCCTTCCTAAATTCAAGTTCGCAGTGCTAACAAATAGCTATGGTATCACTTGAGGGAAGTATCAGTTTTCCCTTGTCTTTATGGAGAATTGACAGACTGCCTTCATTGGTGTCTTTTTCTGTTTCTTTGTATTAGTATTAAAACAGGCAGTATCGAAATATACACTGCATATGGCGCTGGTTTCATCGGGATCCAGGTTTCACCTCTACGAACTACTTATACCCACTTTCTCCTCCGAGAAGGGTCACTGGGAAATCTGAAAGTTCGTGTAATTTATGTGTTTGAATATTTTAAGTACAGATACTAATTATAATTTTTGCATTTATAATATTTTAATTAAATTATAAAAACTATTATTATATTATATAAGTATTTTAAGTGTTATTGTATTGTACAAATAACATCGTCATACATTCGGTCATATCGTCAAATATCGATATATTTTTCGACATGGTCAAGCAATAGTCGATGTCAAATTGACTTACTCCACAGTTTTAGTCATTCGTTCGGAACCATTTTGTGATGGTTGTCAGATGTCAACAATACATAGAAATATCGACTATATTTAACATAGTTTGATAATACAAAATTTTATTTTACATTTGATTAAATTTTGTGATAAATAACAATAAATGTAATAAAATAATATACTTACAAGTGAAAAGAAATAGTGCTGCTTCCGCCGCTATAGTTTTTACACAATTTAACTGAACATTTAGTCATTTTTGGGAGATGTTTTGTTGACAAGTAAGTGCTTGAGACCGACGAAAAAATAAACGACCAAGGCTAGAATTTCCTGGTTACTGACAAGACTGGTATAGATAAGTTCGCTTATGTCGGGTCCAGTGGTTAATTCGTTCAAGGTTGTATATTTTCCGAGATTTTGTTGTAAAAGCGTATACATCGCCCCAAGAATGAATTACGGAGAGTGGAGTCGAGTAACCGGTACTACCTACTTACTTAGCTTGTGTCTGTTCCTAGTATTTATCGACTGAATATCACTTATCTTTGCAAAACTACTTTTATTTTTATGTACATAAATAAATTACATTTTCATAAATGTATTGAGAGAGAGAGACAGTTAATATATTAATTTCCTTAAATTTTTGTATGAGCGACTCTTTTGGTTTTAAATCATATATTGGTCTAATGGCCCTCTTCTGTAATACAAATACTTACTTATAATTTCAGTGTCAGCCGCGTGTCCTCATAGCAAAATAAGTACCATACGACATAATGCTATGAAAATAACTAAAGTAAACAATTGTTACGAGCTTGAGGTTCGTGACAATAAATATTGCCGATAGAATTACCTAAATTAACACTTTAATTTTCTTTACACAAATTAAAACTTAAAACACTAATAATTAAGCACACTAATTCACTTTATTCCGCTCCGAAGCTTCGCTTGTCTCGCCAAATTCAATACTTCCCCGATCGCGTATTGCAGCGCCTTTATATAGGGCTTCCACTTCCACGAAAACATCCAAAATATTCCAGAATATTCAAGTAAATACGCGCGCCAACCGACCAAGCGCAGAAAATTCGAGTCTCAACTTCTAGAAGCTTAGTTCTTCTTTTCGACAACAGATGGCGCTGTCGGTTGAGAGATTAGTGATGTCATTTTCTGGAAAGCTGCCCTCGCTCTCGTCCCCGACACTAGATGGCGCTAGTGCCGGGTACATGACGTCAACTTAGGCGCGTAACACTGCCCCCTCCTAAAACATGCTCGTCCCGAGCATTATCGGCCCCATAATAACGCGCCAGGCGATCCGCATGGGCGATCTTAGGAGTCCCTCTTGCGCCTTTCTGTAACGGCTCCGCAATGTCAAGGGCTGTCCTATCCCCTGGTGCACCAACATTGTACAACATCGATGCTCCTCTACTACGTGTCTGAGGTCCCCTCACAGCCGCACTTGTACATGTACGACACCAATCCTCGACATCGTCACGTTAATGGACCCAGTAAAACTGTTCTCGGACCTTCAGTAGAATTCGTTTAACTCCCAGATGGACTCTTGAACGACCATTATGGCACAGCTGTAGAACATTCGGCACTTTATCTTTAGGGACAACCATTTGCAAACGACAGCTGTCTCCCCGACCATTGTCCCATTTACGGCCCAGGACTCCATCCTAAATCAGCAAGCTGTCCCATTGGGCCCAATAGCTTTTCGTGGTTGAATTCATCGCTGAGACGTCGCTCCACTTAGGCTTGGTAGCACGGGCCTTCATCCATTCCAGAATCGGCTTGATGTCCGGATATTCCTGCTGTGCATGTACGGATACCACTTCCTTACACTTTTGCCTAGTACAATGTTTCCAATCTTCAGGACAAGGTCTTCTTGACAATGCAGCTGCGTTGCCATGAGATTTCCCGCTGCGATGTTCGATCTTAAAGTCGTATTCTGCAGCTGCTGGGCGGTGATGTTAGCCGCACTTCCCTTCTGAGATCGTTCACCTTCCCTTTCTAGGGTTCGCTTAGGGCAGCTGGATCGAAGATGGCCCCTTTCCCCACAGCCATAGCACCTAGGGCTGTATCCTTTATTGTGGTCGCGAACCGTAACTGCTGCAACCTCCCTAGCGCGAGGAGAACGACGATCCTGCCACCGCCAGGCGGTGCCGTTAGCTGCACTACCCTCTTGAGATCGATCAACTTCCCTTTCTACGGTTCGCTTAGGGCAGCTGGATCGAAGATGGCCCTTTTCCCCGCAGCCATAGCACCTAGGGCTGTATCCTTTGTTGCGGTCACGAACTGTAGCTGCTGCAACCTCCCTGACGCGATGGGAACGATGATCCTGCCGCACGGCTTCTACCTCCAGTGTATGGGCCAAGGCGTCCTTAAGCGTCTCGTGGTGCCCGAGCCTCACAGCAGCTCTGACTTCCAGGTCGCGGATGCCGTCGATGAATGTCTGCACCAGGTTCCCTTCAATGAGCGCAGGTACAGACCGGTATGCTTTTCGCACCAGCTTCTCCACCTCTAGAGCCCACTGCTGCAGGTTTTCGTTGATGCGCTGCACACGATCTTTAAGCTGCGCACGAAAGACGTGTTCCAGGTGAGCGTCGCCATATCTCGACTCCAGTGCCTCAAGGAGTTGCTCATAGGGAGCTTCCAGAACTGTTAAGGCCTGGTCGCGCAGGCCTAGTGCGAGAGCAGTCATGGCCTGACTTTTATTCCAGCCGTTCGCCTTCATAACAGCTTCAAACTGGATTTTGTAGGCCGACCAGGAAGAAGTCCCGTCGAACGGTGGCACCTTGAACCCACGTAGCGAAGGTGTTGCAGCTACTACGGGAGCTGTAATTGCATCCCCCAGTTTGAGGTCATCCAGCGTTTTCTTCACGTAAGCCACCACGTTGTCAACCCGATTGTTCACTTGGTCGATTCGGGTTTCAGCTTTCTCGATTCGGGTTTCAGCTTTCGCGATTTGGGTTTCAGCTTCCGACAGGCGGTTATCATGCTGAACAACCCTATCCTTCACCTCGTTTTTCTCCTTCCCGAAGGTAGCGTGAAGGTCCTGCATGAGGAGCATTTGCTCTTCCAACCAACGGGCCTGTTCATCCTGTCCGCTCTGCAGCTGCTCTTTCAACTGACGGACCTGTTCCTCCTGTCGGCGAGCCTGTTCCTCCTGTCGGCGAATGGTTTGCCTGTTCCTCCTGCTGCTCTTTCAACAGACGGGCCTATTCCTCTCGTCCGCGCTGCAGCTGCTCCTGTAGCATCGCCATCAGAGCACTTAAGTCAGGTGCTGCAGATGTAGGAGCTACTGACGGGTCCGCAGCCTCCGTGGCTGGCAGTTGTCCCTCCGACGTCTGCGGCGTTGCACCACCAAATCTCCTCTGGTCCGTCTCATGCTGGCGTTGACTGCGGGTACGGACACCCTCCGTTTCCTTCTTAGGTAAAATCGGCGTGATTTTATCCCAATTCTGACACCAATTGTTACGAGCTTGAGGTTCGTGACAATAAAAATTGCCGATAGAATTACCTAAATTAACACTTTAATTTTCTTTACACAAATTAAAACTTAAAACACTAATAATTAAGCACACTAATTCACTTTATTCCGCTCCGAAGCTTCGCTTGTCTCGCCAAATTCAATACTTCCCCGATCGCGTATTGCAGCGCCTTTATATAGGGCTCTTCCACGAAAACATCCAAAATATTCCAGAATATTCAAGTAAATACGCGCGCCAACCGACCAAGCGCAGAAAATTCGAGTCTCAGCTTCTAGAAGCTTAGTTCTTCTTTTCGACAACAGATGGCGCTGTCGGTTGAAAGATTAGTGATGTCATTTTCTGGAAAGCTCCCCTCGCTCTCGTCCCCAACACTAGATGGCGCTAGTGCCGGGTACATGACGTCAACTTAGGCGCGTAACACTATATTCTAGCTGTTTCAACACTGGTAAGAGTTCTAATCTTTTTTACAGCATATGCTGTAGAACTAAGTCTGCTAACTACTCGTAGTTTTAATACATGGAGGAGCCATTGAAGCTTTGCGTCTAGTGTGATTCCAAGAAAAATGGTGGTATCAACAAGACTCAGCTCCTCCCCATTTAAAATTACATCAGTATTAACATTTTTGACATTCGGAGTTACGAATTTTATACATTTAGTTTTAGTTCCAGTTAAATGCAAATTATTAACATTAAACCAATTGACTAACTTAGATATAGCATTATTTACTTCGTTGTAATTTAATAACTGTCGTTTTAATTTGTAAATTAATGAAGTATCATCAGCAAATAATAGTAGGTATATAATGGTTATCTCCGTATGAGTATTTGACTTTACTATTCTTACATTTTAATTTTTATATAATATTCCAAATAGATTAACTATAGTTCATATTTATATATTTTTTTATCATTTAGGAGACAAGTGCCCGTCTTCTATTCATGGCTGTGCGATGGGTTCGTTGCCTGGCACCATTTCAAGCGCTAGCACCCTCGGATCAGTTGGTACTGTTACGTGCCGCGTGGAAAGAATTGTTCCTGCTTCACCTGGCACAGTGGTCGGCACCTTGGGACCTTGCGCCACTGCTTGCGGCACCGGCGGCCAGGGCGCGCCTTCCACCCGACCCACTTGCCGACCTCGAATTGAACACTTTGCAGGTGAATAATAATTAGAAGGTTAATTTTACCTATTCATGTCTTGTATGTAAACATGAAAATGTAAAGTGCTAAAATTGTACATTGATCCGATTTAAAGGGTAAGAGAAACAGTACCTAAATAGATTTAGGTGTTGTGAGATAAGTAGGTACTTACTTATTTCATTTTAACATTCAGGCATTAGTGACCTTTTTTGTGTGAAGAAGTCTGTGGGTTTCCATAAACTACATCAGCTATTCCGTCAGATCACTTATGACCTACTTATAACTATTATAACTCACAGAGACTGTTATGAATATTCAGATATTTGAAAAGTAAAACAAAAGCAATATACCTAACAAGAGGTCAAAACTGGCGTCGTTTAGACATCAGCCATGTAATGGAATTTAGAAGATTCGATCACCTGTAAGAGTGCCACCTAGCGCTGTTGTCAAGATCCAGAAATCACCCGTGCGAAGCCTGGTCGGATGCTAGCACCTAAATAATAAAAGTTCGGTGCAGTTCTCAATCGTTTAAAGCATATTCTTCTTCTTTTTCAGCAGCCCGTAAAAATCCACTGTTGGGCAAGGGCCTCCTCCATAGAGTTTCATAGGGGGGATTTGACTTCATCACCACGCTTGGCAGGCTAATTGGGGTCAGTTTCAATCAGTGGCGCACCGTTAACGCTACTTTCGTCACCGGTCCGAGTATTTTACGACTAGCGTAAACGAGCTAATTATATCGCCATCTATCGAAAGCCATAAGATCCTTCTGACATACTCCGTTGTCGTTCTTAACGACATCTTTGTGTTTTGTTGTATTTTATGGGAATAATGACGTGGTTGGACAAAAAACTACAATAAAACGTTTTTCTCACCTAAGTTTATATATATATATATATATATATATATATAACATTAGTAAAGTAAAGTAAAGTAAAGTTACAGCCTATATACGTCCCACTGCTGGGCACAGGCCTCCCCTCATTTCTGAGAGGGTTTTAGGGCAAGGAAGAGTCCGCCGCGCTGCCCTAATGCGTGTTGGCGAACTTCACATGTCTTCGAAATAATTTGTTTTTCTTATTCCTCAGACATGCAAGTTTCCTCACGATGTTTTCCTTCACCGCCGAGCACGTGGTAAATCAGCACTTAAAATTGCAATTAACAATTTCATTGGTGCCGGCGGGGATCGAACCCGGGTTACTCGCGTTCTGTTATATTTACAGCGAGCGTTAACCATCTGAGCTACCACGGCTCTATAACATTAGTGCTAAAAGCGAAGTAATAAACTCGTTTAAATATGAGGGTAGGTACCCAATTTTCGTTAAAATTTAAAAAAAAACATTAATTTCGCAACAAAAGTGAATGAAACACATAAAACTACGTGCAAATATTAAAGATAATTTATATTTATCAATACTCTGATATTTTCAGCAATAATAAACAAGAAAACACTAAATACGAGATAAAATGAACAAGCACTAAATTGGCGCGATTTAATTGACGAATTCCAATCTTAAAATTCGTCAACGAATTACCTACCTACAGATTAAAAATTATTTGTTATCTAGCTTTGTCTATTAACAAGTCTTTCCATAAATATGAACAGGTTACGACACCGGCAACACAATAAATTAATTAGGCCCGCCAAATACGTACGGAAATCCGTTTCGGAATTCTGATTCGGGATTCCGAACGCAGCAACCCATATAAGGCCCACCACATAAGTACATACGGAATTCCGTTTCGAGGTTCCGTTTCGGAATTCCGAAACTACCGCAGGTGTGTGATGAGTCATTGATTTTATATGGACTTGCTGCGTTCGGAATCCCGAATCGGAATTCCGAAACGGAATCTCGAAACGGAGTTCCGTATATATGTGGCGGGCCTAAAATACACAGACACACATACGGTATTTTTCCGTAAGGAATTTTGCGGGCAAAACGGGATTCCGCATGTGTTCGGTCGACCCGTTCGTTGCGTTTCGGAATTCCGAGACGGAATCTCGAAACGGGATTCCGTATGTATGTGGCGGGCCTAAAATCAATGATACACATACGGTATTTTTCCGTAAGGAATTTTGCTGGCAAAACGGGATTCCGCATGTGTTCGGCCGACCCGTTCGTTGCGTTTCGGAATTCCGAGACGGAATCTTGAAATGGAATTCCGTATGTATGTGGCGTGCCTTAATAGATCGCAGCGGCTGTTTGGACTGTCCGGTGCGCGCCATCCCGGCGTTTTTGACTGTTGAAGGATTATTTAAAACTAAGTACTTAGATATTTTATTGCTTCTTTGCTAATATTATTGTGTGGTTGGTTAACTGAAAACGAAAATGGTTAAAGAAAAAAACTAGTAGATTTACCAATATTTTCTTCAACATCTACAAATATGTATTAAGTATTATACTAGCGATCTGTCCCGGCTTCGCACGGGTTTTATCTGGATTCTAAGACAGCGCCACCTACCGGGTCCAACTATGACTGTAACCTTCGCGGAAGTGCAAGCAATATGTTGACAAAGTTTTATCGCAATCTGATGAACGGTATGGCAGCGCATAAAATACGAATAAACAAATATATTTTTTATATAAGTCTTAGATAATAATCGCAGTTTGCAGAAAGGTTTTTTATTAGGATATATTATCTGTTATTTGTTGCTGCCCATCTCTGATTTGTTTCCCTCCGTCGTCTCTTACGACACACCCACGAGACTACATTATGAGGCAGTGGATATTCTTACACAGTAGGTTATGTTAATGTCTATGTAATTAAACGAATTTTTATATTATTTCAGGAAATTCTGTGCCGGTTTCGACAAATAGCACCCGACGGTAGCGAGTGTGGGTGTATGAAAGCAATCGTTCTCTTTTCGCCCGGTAAGAACACAATTTTGTTCATGATTACTTATAAATATTTACTTAAGTATATTTAAAGATTTGATGGGTAAAAAAAAATTCGTAGGTATTTCTTTTAAATAACAGAATAATTATTAGAAACTGGATCCCAAGCACTATCCGGTGTTTCAATTTTTATTATCTAATAAATGACTTTTATCTTTAATATAAACCGTGGTTGCGCTTGCTTAAGGCGATATATCTAAAAAGTGGTTCCGTGCTATCGCCGTACTAATCCGAGTGAATAAATAATTTCTGTAAAAACTTAAAAAAAAACGTTATAAGGTCTAAAATTGCGTAGCGTCCGCCACGATTAAGACCGCTTAGAAATTGTCAGAATCTTAAAATATTTAAAAAAATATTGATTTAATTAATCAAAATAATGAGCAAGTAAATTATGAATATTGATTTTATGAAGATATTTGAGTGATTTCCAAGCATATAGATTACATAATTTCGTTGTAATTTCAACTATAGAGATTTTTTGGAGGTGTTTTCGCAGATCATTATGATCGAGTCAAAATTATGCAATCGTGTTTTTGAACAAGCAAATTCCAGATAAAGACATGGATTTACCTATTATCGAAACTCCAGTTTCGTTAGTGGTGTCATAGTCCTAGACTATTCGATGAAAGGAGGTGCATTTTTTTGCGGTGTCGCCTTAAATTTTATAGTGCGAGCAGCCTCTTCGTTCAACATGTAGTTATTCGGTGGTAAAAATTCTACAAGTGTTAATTGTTTATAAAGTTATATAAAAAGGCCTCATCAAATTCTGCGCTGAGTTACTGAAGTGCCCTCTCAGAAATGAAAGGCAGGTTACTGAGCATACCGTTACCGTTACTGTAAACTGTAATGAAACTCTTTGTAACTTGGTTCTCCCTTTCCTAATGTGTCGTCACTGCGTCGTAACTTCAGACTAAAGAATCTTATTAGAAAATACAGTAACATTGTTACAAAATCTTTTAAAGAAGCTTAGCCGAATATCAAACTTCAAGTAAGATAAATAATAGAAATTACGAGGGTGGATTGAAAAGTACTCGGCCTAACACAGATCCATTCAATTCTAAAAATCAAATCTACCCACATTATTTAGTTCAGTTCAGACTAGTTCATTGTGTGAAGTTCGAAACGTGTGCGATAATTAGTTGTGATTTTATAAATTTATTAACAAAGTAATCGGACATAACTTCCGCGAATGGAGCAAATCGAGCAGCGTGCCGTCATTAAGTACCTCCATAAGAAGGGGCTATCATCAAAAGCCATCTATGATGACATGGTCCGTACATTAGGCGATTGTGCTCTGTCATATTCATCCGTCAAAAAATGGATAGCAGAATTTAAGCGTGGTAGAGAGAGTGTAGAGAGAGATGAACCCCGCTCTGGAAAGCCTTCGACGTCAACTACTGACGAAAATATTAAAAAAGTACTTGATTTAATAATGGGAGACCGCAGATTAAAAATTAGAGAGATAGCCGAGATTATAGGCATCTCTTACGAACGAACTCAAAACATCATTGTCAACGAGTTGGGTTTCCACAAGGTGTCTGCGAGGTGGGTTCCGCGACTGCTTTCAGTTGAACAAAAAAGGACGCGATTGACTATTTCACGCGACTGTTTGGAGTTATTTGAAGCCGATGCAGATGATTTTTTGAATCGTTTTGTTACTATGGACGAAACATGGGTTCATTACTGTACACCGGAAACAAAACAACAATCAAAACAGTGGAGAAGACCTGGTTCACCACCCCCTAAAAAGGCTAAGTCGATTTTGTCGGCAAATAAGGTGATGGCTTCAGTATTCTGGGACTCGAAAGGTGTGATTATGATTGATTATCTTGAAAGGGGTCAGACTATAAACTCTGATTACTACTGCACCTTACTACGTCGTTTACGAGAGGAAATAAAAGAAAAACGTCGAGGAATGCTCAGAAGAAAAGTCCTGTTTCATCAAGATAACGCCCGTATTCACACGTCAGTACAGTCAATGGCTGAAATTCACAACTGTGGCTTTGAATTGTTACCGCATCCGCCGTATTCACCTGATCTGGCACCATCAGACTTCTTTCTGTTCCCTAACCTAAAAAAGCACTTGGGAGGTCAAAGATTTTCGACAAACGACGAGGTCAAAGCAGCTGTAGACGCATATTTTGACTCTAAGGAAGAATCATTTTTTTTTCAACGGTCTAAATGCTTGGAAGGGGAGGTGGCAAAAGTGTATTGAACTTGATGGTGATTATGTAGAAAAATAAAAATATAACTGATTTAGTTTGTGTTTATTTTCTTGGTTAGGCCGAGTACTTTTCAATCCACCCTCGTAAATTCGCTGTACCAGTTCACGAGTAATAATGTCCTCCAAACAGAATTTCGGCCACGGCGGCCTGCCTCAACGGAGGCTAGCCATCGGCGCAGGACAGGATAGTGCCCAAGTGTATGCGCAAGCACAGGTGTACTCTATTCCCTCACTCTCATAATCCGATAGGACGGTAAACCGACAAAACCGGAGAGAGATCAGGCGCAGGACTAACAGCTTTACGTTCTTTCCGAGGCACGGGGGTGAGACACTGCCAACTTCCTGACTCCGGGCAGCTACTGAGAATTTCTTGACAGAAAAATTCAATAATTGATTTTGTTGACCTGACCCGGGATTCGAACCCAGGACCTCATGATTAGCAGTCGCACTACTGTAACTACTAGACCAACGAGGCAGTCAAAGTCAAGTCAAGTCAAGTCACGAGTATGAAGTATGTGGCAGCCATCGCCATTCTCCACGATATTAAAGCGTAGTGGACGCACAGTCACACGACGCCGCTACAAGCAGGAAGCATGACCAACTCTCTCACACACAGAGATGTCATTTCCAAAATATGCACTTGTAAATATCTACTAGTCCACAGAACACACTTATAGTTTCCATTTTAACTCAGAGTTATTCTCTCACATATTATGTACATTCACATTCGTATGTATTAATAATAAACATATTAGCTAATAATAATAACACAAATACCACCACAGCGCCACCCATCTAGACCAAATTTTATAATTTTTAGGGCTAAGTCAATATATACTGTAAATATAAGGCTCAGGACCATGCTTTGCGGTATCCCTTAGGAGGCCAATGTTCAGCAGAGAACTTGTGGAGGGCCGTAACGATGATGAGTCATTTGGTCCATAAAATTGCGTTTTATAATTACTTAACAGCAGCGCCATCTCTAGTCTGTTCGATGGTATAATTACATTGAACCTACTTAATTCATCATTGTGTAGTCTTAGACCAAGAAAGATAGTATAGCGACTTTTTCTCATAAGATCATGTTTGCAACCAAGTAGGTATAATAAGGTACCTATTTGTATGCAAATGATTTTAAATGCAAGTGCGTGAAATAACCGTGTAGTGGCGGTGTTAAAATACCCACTACCACTACTCCATATCGTCTCGTGGGTGTCGTAAGAAGCGACGGAGGGAAACTGGAACGGGAGATGGACAGCAGCATACTTCTGATAACAACTCAATATTATAAAACCACTGCGGTTGTCAACCAGCCTGCCATTTAGTTTAGTTGCCACGGCAACTATGGCAAAATTTCCCCTATGAGGAAATTTTTCGAGCAAACCCTATGTCCAGCAGTGGACTTTATAGGCTGCAATGGAAAATGGTAGTGGGTGGTGTGCGTAAGTGAGAGTTCTATAATAATATGAGCATGATTTCACCACCACTTAAGGTGTAAGCATGCAATGTTTTATCTTTCTTTGTAGGTCCGATTATATAACGAATGACACTGAAATAAGCTGCGTAACTTCAATTATTAATGTTACTTACACTTGCTACAAATGTGGCGTATTATATTCAGATACACCAGGATTAAGCGAGACACAACCAGTTGAAATGCTCCAAGATCAAGCGCAGTGCATATTAGCGGATTACGTTCGCACCAGATATTCTCGACAACCAACGAGGTAAACTGTAAATAGAGCTGAAATATGCCCTGATTTTCAAATAGGTACGTGAATGGCGGCTCAGTAGCGCAGTGCCTAAGCATTTGGCTACGATACTAGACCGGGGATTTGAATCTCAAACGGAAAAAGTGTTTGTATGGCCTAAAAATAATTCTATCGGGTCTGGATTTTTATTCATGTACCTATAACTTATGTATGTAAACCCCCACGATAAGAAAATCTTATTGCTTTTCGTTTTTCAGTAAATGGTTAGCTAGATTTGGGTAAAAATTTCGATATATATCGTCGTTATCTTTAAATCGCGATATATCGATATTCGATATTTATTTCGAATTATCGAATACGTATCAATTTCGATATATTTTAAAATGTTGTATTAATCGACAAAACATTAAGCAACAAAAGTAGCTAGCTATTCATGTGCTGTTGGTCATATATATCGATATATTTTGTTTACTTGTCCATCCCTATGGTTAGCCACATAGGGCACAGCATCTACGTATAAAGTTGTTCAAAACGACTATAAATCAATAGCACGCTACAGACTATAAACTAGAAATTTCTAGCGCGCTATTAAATACGCTATATTATAGCGCGCTATTTATAAAAAAGTGTGTAGGAGGCCGGCAAGCGCGTTAAGTTTAGCAGCACGCTATATCTCGGAGCACGCTACATTACATGACGTTCATTGGATAGACCGCGTGCTATATAAGAACATTGTTTCGTAATAAGTCGATTTTAGATTAAAATAAAATAAAGTGGAAAAGAAAATTCCTTCATACTTTTAGACTTTTTATATCCTAATATTTTTAAGGACTGTACTTTTTAAACAAATATTTCATTTTGTATTATAATTGATGTAAACGTTATTTTAACCTTATTATAAATTATTAATCAAAGGTGTATTTAAAAGTTTATTAATTGTATATACAAAATCAACTATTTACAAACACTATTATATACACTTTTTATCTATATTTTATTTACATTTAAAAACATTAGTTATGCTTGTTTTGTAGCAGACAACTGTGTCCTTCGATCACTTATAAATATACAGTATACACTAACTAAATAACGTCTAACACTAAATTAGTTCGCGCGCGATGAAAAGCGTGCTGCTAGATTAAATTTGCGTCACACGTCTACTCCCAACAGCGCTGCTGCTAGAACTAATTGCCGCTTGATATGAATAGCGCCAAAGCGTCATAGCGCCATGGCGACTACTTACATAGCACGCGCTATGCGTTATGAAAAGATAGCGCGCTATAATATGGCGCTATGCGCTATATTAACCACCATTATCTACGTACCAATGGTGGACTGTGTTCGTTTGGTACCCTTAAACTATGAAAAAAAAACTTTGGACAGTATTTAGACTTTTAATTTTCTAATTATTTTTTAAGTTTAGTAATGTCAGCCCTTCTAAAATGGACGCTTAATAGAATTTAAGAAAACTAAAATAACGCCCATTCATCATAAACTCTGATGATCTTAGTGAGAATACTAGGTCATAGTCATGGAATTATTGTCTTGCCTTAGGTTAAAAAAAATAAGTCTGCAAAATTTCTGATTATTCAGACGTCTGTGTGGGTGAGCGCTTGAAAACTGAATTATAAATTCCACTTTAAGTTAATATAAAGCGTGTTCTAAAAAGATAACAGTTACTTCACACATCAAGTTAATATCTCTCTTTCCAACCACTATAATTTAAACAAGAGTTTGAACCTATAATTGGCCTTATTTATTATGTTGTACCTAATTATAAGAAAGCTGTTTTAAAACTTCATGGCAAATATATAAGGTTATTTTGCAATATATGGCCAAATTTGCAGGAAAGTTTCAGAATAAGTAACATAGACTAACGGTGAAGAAAATTAATTTTAAAAAATCTCAAGTTTTGTCCTTTTTATGTTTTAAATTCAGAATGCATGTTAAAGCGTTATTTAACTGATTGTCATTCATAAATATCTAACGCCTATCTACTATTTTAGTACACACATTCGTCTAAGGATCGATCGATTGGCAAAAAAGTTGTGAATTGAAACTTACACAGCAGAGCGCAACGTGACGTAGTTGTTGCCCATATATCATTCAATTTGAGATATTTTAAAAAATGAGAAGCTTTATTTACTCATATTTACAAAAACTGCATTAACGGTATATCATTATTATAGTAAAAAATTTAGCTACTCTTTAAGCAAGTATAAAATTTGGCTACTCTTTGAAAAATAACCCTGTATAATTCACTGTTTAACCAGATTCGGTCGACTCCTTCTACTGCTACCTTCACTGCGGGCTGTTCGCGCGCGCTCCATAGAACTGCTGCTATTTCGTGACACGGTGGGAGACGTGTCAGTGGCCACGTTGCTTCACGACATGTACCGAATGCAACCAGCGCCTGCGCCCGCCCCTACATTCCCCCCCACCCCCCACTGTCACTGAACATTGCGCCTCACCATAAATTATTATAATATAAAACCGAATAGTTTTAATAACAGAACAAAATGGAACTAGACTACAGATTTAATTGCCTGTGAAGAAGTGATTATTTCATCAAACTCGCTCTATTTAAAGAAGGTTGTAACCAAAGAATGTTCAGATATGCTTTGTAGCAAATATCTATTGATTTAATACTACGATTTTTCTAACTACAATTGAAAGTGAAATTTCCTTTGATAAAAAAATACGTGTGGCACTCGGCGACTGCCGCGGTAAAGCTATTGCATAGCATTTTTTATCAACTTATGCAATTATAATTATTTATTTATTTTATTTATGCAGTTAAGTCTTTGATATTATTTCAAGTTACACTTTTTGAGCGTGGTGACCGATAAGAAAACAATTTTTTTTCTCTTATTGAATAAATGAGAAGTTAATATTGTTTAAAATATTTTTAATATCTTACAATACATGTAGATTATTCAGGAATTTTTATCATTGAGTTAGCAGCTAGTGTACACGCATACGTCTAGTCGCACGCACACAAACACCGTGCCGAAGTCTGCCGAGTGCCGAAGTCTGCCGAACTGAAACGACGTTAGACGATGCACGGCTTTCAACGCCACACCTCCGTGCCCGTCAGAGTGGGGAGCGTGAGATTTTTTTTCGTTACGGAATTTCTGGATACGGTCCCCGCGCTCAAGGCCCGCGATAGAAGCTATGCAATAGCTTAAAAAAACTATACATCACAACAAAGGCAAGTGTAAAATGTTGTGCATGTTGGTAGAAATTATTTAGTTTAATGGACTGTAATTACTAATTATACAACAATTACTTTGAGTATTAAACTAATTTTTGTTGTTGGTTGAATACTCAAAGAATAATCACAGTCAAAAATTTTTATTTCTACAACAGCATAAGGATTCTACAACAGCGCCACCTACCGGGTAACCAACTATGCCCATAACCTTCAAAGTTTTAACGCAATCTGATGAACGGTATGGCAGCGCATAAAATACGAACAAACAAATATTAATTTTTATACATTACATTAGCAATTTTGACGGCTCCGTGGCGCAGTGGCTTAGCAATGAGCTACAGCGCTAAGGGGCGCGGGTTCGAATCCCGCACGGAACAAGTATTTGTATGGCCTACAAGTATTGCCGGGTGGTGTTTGTCCTTGTGAAATTTATATTTGTAAACTGCCCCCCGCGATACAGGAGAAAATTCTAGTATGGAGGCAACATTTAAAAAGAAATTAAACAGAAAATGTTATTAAATATGTAAATATTATTACCTTGTGTGCACACTGCTCATAACAACTAACAGATATAGTCATAGTCTAGCTCAATGGCCCTCCTTGGGCCTTTTAATGTCGTTATAACTGATATCAAGTGTAGTTTCATGTTTTTAACAAATTAATATATTCATATTGTGTGCAATATAATGTGGGCAATTTGCTTATAATCTAGTCAAAACCCTAATTGTAAAATAATAAAGATAAGATAATAGTAATTATTAACTATTATCCTAATAATGATATATGAATATTAGAAACAATAGTTTAGATTAAAAAGATCTAGTCTAGTATAAGACCTATTATTATACATAAATTATACCTATGTAAGAAAATTTACATGTAGTTTGATCCAGTGTATGCGGTTTTTTAACAAACTGAATTTGTTGAATTTTATATATCTGCATTTATTATAAAATTTAGGGAACAGACATATCGCTATAATCATGAAATAACTTATTTGTAAATATTTTATTGTGATTTATCAAAGCTAAGATATTAAAAAAGGGTGAAACCAATTAAACCTGTTAATATAAAGACAATATTACGTTACTTTGTTGTTTTATTTAAAAAAAAATACATACATATGATAACACTTATGAGAATCATGATCTGTTGATTGTAACATAGTTAATTTCAAATTTCGTGAGAGATTATCATACAATTGTTTTATATAAAAATAATTATAACAGATCAGCAAGAAATATATTTTTGTTCTATCGCCACTAACTCGGCTAAAGTATCAGTTCAACCTGTTAAATTAACCTTATTTAGGGACGAAATAGCTTCAACAGAAGACAAATCTACCAAATCATCCTTCTCCTCCTGGTGTAATGTTGGTTGTACAGTTTCCTGTTTTGGCTCGGCCCTAGGGAAATCTAACTTGCTCCACGCACCTGGTTCGGCTTTTTTCAGTTTAATTTCAACTTTTGTTCCAAGCATCGAAGCACTGCTTTTCTCTACATCAATTACCTAACAGAATGAATAACAGGAATCTTAATTAAGCCATCAAGAGATACAAATATTGAAAAAATGGAGTACAGTAATCTGCATTAGAGCCAGAATTAAACAATAATATAAAACATATATATATATATATATATATATATATATATATATATATATATATAATATGAAGCGACAGTAGCCTAATGGTAGGGCGCGGACAGCGAACTCAAAAGATCGTGGGTTCCAATCCGCCATTCGACTACTGGCGTGAACCACTCGTAACACAAGCAATTTAAGCTTACCACGAGTGGTTAAGGAGAATATTAGTAATGTTTATAGCATTGTTAATATTCTTTAAAAAAAACATTACATTTTTGACAATTTTTTTAAATATTTGTTTACTTGGACATAATAAAACGAAAGTTTAACCTAACTAAGGTTCACAGCTAGACTCACCCGGCACCCGACCCTCACCGCCTCGCCTCGAGCGATTCGTATTCTCCGTATGGATTTGTATGGGCCTGCGCTCACTACATCTACTCCGTACCATCACCAGATCGCCTCGCTCGCGAGGTGCCCACGCGTGGACTGCGAGTGGACCACTCGATGATAGCTCACTGTTGGCATGCTTGCCTAGCGTGAAGCGCGAGCTCGCAACGCGCGGTTCACGCGAGTGCGATACGGCGCTCTCCACCACCAACATTTCATTTAGAGTCTTCCTTTCGAATGTGTCGGATAGTGTCGGACGCATTGTTGTTTGTTTTTAAAATGAACAAAGAAAAACTTATAGAAGAAGGTCGGAAGTATAATTTATTGTATGATTTAAGGGTCACTCGTTGATCACGCGAGGTCCACTCGTTGACGACGCGAGGTCCACTCGATAACCACGCGAGGTTCACTGGTGACAACGCGGCGTCCACCCGTGGTCCATCTGTCGACTACGAGTAGACGCCTGGTGTCGAGGCGGTGAGGGTCGGGTGCCGGGTGGCTCTAATGAGCTGTGACCCTTATTGTCTACCTGATTAACGAAACATAAACATAAATAATAATAATAATATGTTAATGAAAATACTTACTCCTCGCAACTCTAAGTCCAATTCAAATACTGCATTTCCTTCTTCATGGAAAACCAACTTTGTATTTAAGCGAATTGGATTTAGTTTTATATAGCTGGCGGTAGGATCATATTTTTTGGCATATACACTCACAATAACAAAATCGGGTGTTTGATGCCAATCCCATCGACATTTTACAGTACCAGCAGGTGTACCCTGGAAAACAACACGAATATAAATGAAATGTGTAAAATATAACCAAAACTAAATATTACAAATCAACTTCTTTTTTAAAAGGTTTTATTTAACTTGTATGTATGTCCTGGAATTTTGAAATCAATATTTCACAACTGCCACTGAAGCTACCGGGCTAAAATTTGGGACACACATTTGGATTCGAGACAATCCACGATTACTTAAAATGCCGCGATTTTTAATCCAATATGGCGGACGTTACAAAGCAGCAATTTATCATTTCTTCTTTAGCAACCCCTATGCTATGAGTATCAAATGAAAGGAATTAATGAGAGAACACAATAAGTAAAGTAACGTAGTTCTGAATCCTATACCGTGAACGCCTCAAAATGGCAATTTACAACTTGTATACTAACCCCTATGATATGGGTTTCAAATGAAAGGGCTTGATGCGTGAACTACAATAAATGACGTCATTTTAAGTCTAATATGGCGGACGTCTAATATGACAATGCAATATTATTATGACTTAAAGTAGATCTGATGATGGAGCGCTATAACTCGGTAAATGTTAGATACAGCTTTGTGGTGTTCGAACAAATGTTGTAGTGTGAACAACAAAGGTCAACAGCTGGCATTGTGAAGTTGGCGATCAAAACTTAGTTGCTTATATACGGGTCCGTCGGTCAAATTTTCATATTTCTAAAGTACTCCGTCATAATATAGGTCTTATATATTATATGAAAGGGTTTTCTGGAAAGAATACGAAAGATAAAATGACGTAACACTAAATCGAATATGATGGACTCACAAAGATAGTGGAATATGTTTTTTATTCATGATAATATCCTTATTCATATTTTCCTTCATTCATTCATGATATTATCAAATGAAGATATGGATAGAAACGATGACAACAGGATGAACTTTTTGTTCGCTAAAAAGACTACGAATAAAATGATGTCCACGTTCATTCAACTCTTCGAAGAGATGGTGTACTACTGTCTTCTGCTCGGCTAAACGGTAAGACTAAGCAGATTCGTGTCTTAACTAATATCGACCTACAGACCTTGGACAAATTTTAGCAGTGGTGAAGAAATCAAAATGGCGGAAAACAAGATTGCCGCCATACCAAATTTAAACACTAATAACTCGCCAAAGGTTAGGGATAGTTTGGTGGTGCTTGAACAAATGTTGTAAGGACCGACAAGGGCCAATTACTCGCGGTAAAAATTTCAAGATGGCGACTAGAAAGCAACAATGACGCATCAAATGAAATAACGAACTTAGAAGCATGTCCAGCTATAACTAAAAAATAAAAAATAAATTAAGAAAAAAAAATATTTTTAGTCGTTATAAGGAAAATACTGTTGCCCATCTCCTAATTTGTTCCCTCTGTCAACTCTTACGACACCCATGGGTGATATCGGGTGGTGGATATTTTTAAACCGCCAATACACGGTAAATTATACCTATTAATAATTGTATTCCTGGTAAGGCATTAATAG